GGCGGCCGGGTCGGGCAGGAAAAGCGCAGATGGAGAGGCCTGGAGCTCCACACACTCCAGCGTAACGTTTTCTAGAGAAGGCCATGTTTGTTGTAATCGCAGCTAGACTCACTGAGAAACTGAGGAAAGAAAGCATACTGAGAATCCAGGTGTGGGCAGCAGAAAGCAGCCAGGGGGGAAGTCGGCAGGCTGTTTCTAGGGCATGGCTGGGGTTCATGTGTTCTTCCCAAACTTCTGTTTTCCTTTTATGTCGATGCCTTTCAATAAAAAAAAGTTCTTACTTAGAGACCAGAGATGTCTTTTTCATTTCCATTGAACTGTTTCTTTAGACTCAGTCGTGTCCGCTATCTGAATATTTAACTTGCTACGTGCAGCATGCTTGCATTTAGTGCAGTGTGCATTTCAGAGAAGGGTTTCTTTAAACATGAGTGTGAACTGACAGCAGGCCCCTTGTCCTGATCCAGCTCCAGGATTTCTCTGAGTCAGGGAAGGCAGAGAGGTGGCAGGCAGGGCTGGTGACCCCCCCACCCCTGTAGCTCCTCCCCAAGGCTAGTCCTGTGTCCCCCCGGAACCTAGCCTGCTGCTCAGGGAAGGGGCTTCCATGGTCACTGGAGCCCCCGACCAGGAAACTCAGGGCTGCAGTGACTTTAACTGCAAGGCTAAGGGTAACAGTTGACCGGCAGCTGTAAGAGGGCTGAGGACCATCCTGGCAGGATAGCACACTCCTGATTCCAGCTTGGTAGCACCCGATGCAAGGGGCCATTCACTCTACCACTGGCCCTTGGCTGCCACTCGCCCTCTGCTGTCACTCTCCTCTCTGAGGTCATCACAGTTGAAGTGTGCCCTGGGTTCCAAAAGCAACAGAAAAGGAGCTGAGGGAGCAGGAGAGTTGGCGGAGTTTGTCAGGACAAGCCAATCGCCCTGATGAAGTCGCCTCTGATGGCATCAGGGTCAGGACAGAGATGACAGGGAGGCCAGCTGATGGGTTTGGGTTCGGAGAATGCAGGGGCTTCAGGCTCTGAGCGGCCTATGCGTGGTTTCCCTGCTTTCTCTGCTGCGGGAAAACACCATGTGATTGGCTTGGAGCATTCCCGTCCTCACGCCCACCCCACCCCATGTGCACAGAGGTGGGAGAGCAGCCCGGAGTGATTGCATCAGCACGGAAGGACGCGATTGGCTTGCCTAAGGGACCCGAGGTGGAGGCAGCCTGGGAGGGAGCTGGCTCCTGCCCCACAGCTGCCCAGAGATAGCCTGCCTCCCTCTTCCATGCCCACTGGGGCACAGGAGGGCTGGGTGGGCATCCTGGAGGGGAGCTCCGCCTGCCTGGGCTGAGAGGAGAGGCCTGTACAAACTCCCTGGCAAGAAGCAGTCGCGATTTAAAATGCCATCCTGCTCCCCTGACTGCTTTTTCCATGCAGTTGAGGTAAGGTTTATTTTCAAGTATTTCCCATCGAGAGGCGCATCCCTGCCCGCCTTGCAGCTGCGGCAGAAAATGTTTATAATTGTCAGGGTTTCCCAGAACCGTCCCTTGGCCTGGGAGCTGTTCTGTGCTCGTGGATTCGAGCAGTCCCAGGAAAACGAAGTTTTTGTAATTTGGTAAGGGACATGGACCACAGAGTTGTGTGGCTTTTCTCCCCGTGCCCTTTCTGTTACGTGAAGTTTCACGAGCATGTTCACGTTAGTTCGCCACCACCTCACCCTATGGCTTAGAGCACATGGTGGGTGGGCTGCTACAGGACCGGCCGTGGGAGCTGGCATGGGACCCTGTGCTCTGGGGACAGAGCAGGTGGGGTCAGCAAATGCGATGACAGCGAGGGAGACCTTCAGGATGTTTTGTTGCTCGGCTTGTGTTTGTGATTGGTTCAGCTGTGAAATGCTCGACCCTGAGACCCCAGCAGGATTTTAGTGAATCCTGTTGCTTCCTCGGACTGGTCATTGGAGGACTGGCTGTGTGCTGTGCTTCCCCGCAAGGTGCCTGGACGCTGTGGCCATGTCACATCTTAATCCTACCTGCTCCATCCGCGGGGGTGGGAAGGGGAAACAGTTGACTCTCGTCCTGCAACCCTGTGGCAGCGGCGACCATAGCTTGGAAAAACACTTGTCCACGTACGTGTTGGAGCACTGGCGTTTTTCCTTCTGTTGTGTTCTGTTGCGATTTTTATTTCTTGTAAACCCAAAGTCATTTATTGTAAGTGTTCCCTTTGTATGTTGCAGGATGTTAAAGTCTTTAGTGAAGATGGGACGAGCAAAGTGGTGGAGATTCTGGCAGATGTGACTGCCAGGGACCTGTGCCAATTGCTGGTTTACAAAAGTCATTGTGTGGATGACAACAGCTGGACACTGGTGGAGCACCACCCGCACCTAGGACTAGGTAGGGAGCAGTCTGGGGCGGGATTGGCATCGGGGACAGTTGGGGTGCAAGCCAGCAAAGACTGCCACTGCCAAGTGCCGACGGATGATGTGTCCCCGCCAGAAGGGCAGGCAGTCCCTGTCACCTCCCCATGCTGCCTCTTCTTTCTCCTGGATTATTCTTTCCTTCCTCCCAGACCTCTCCTCTTTGATGCGTGAGGACTCTTGCTTTGAATGGTGGGAGGAAAACTTCCCCTGGGCTCAGGCACAGCAATGAGGTCTCCTGTGATGTGGCTCCCCTGCCAGGTGTCAGAGCCACAGGGGGTGTGCTTACTCCTATGGCCTGGGAGCGGGAGGGAGGTGGTCTCGAGGTGCCCTGGGGAGAGCCGACTGCTCACAAGCTTGCAGCTGCCACCGTTCAGAGAACAGCTCCCAGCCCAGAGGAAGAGGGAGTCCTGGTTCCAGGTTCAGGCAGGTACAGGGAGCCCACTGGGAATCGGAGCACTTGACAGCAGTTCCAGCCATGTTTCAGTCTTGCTCAGCAACTCTGAGCTCGTTAGTAATGCCTGGACTGTGTTTGCGTGCATGTATGTGTGCGCATGTGCTTGTGTGTGTGTGCACGCGCATGCCTGTGTATGTGTATGCACACGCATGTGTGTTGTGCAGAGGGAGCAAGAGAATATTTCATTTCACGAAGTATTTGAGCACATATCCTGTTTTGCTGCAGCTTATTCATTATGTTCCCTATTTCAGGTAAAACTTTTCAGTCCTGTTTGAATTCTGATTGGCTAAAATGTGGTACTTACACAAAATCTTAGGCAAGTACTGAGCACCAGAATGTTCTCTAATCAACAGCTTTATTTTCTCCATGTCTCCAAGGAAAGAAAAAACAGTGCAAATTGCCAGTTTCTCTCCATTCTAAATTCTTCTCATGAACCTTTCTGAAAGACTGATAAATTAAACTTAAAAGTCTAGATATAGAATATTCATTCCTCCAACTCATACTGTACAATTTAAACCTAAATAATGCTGTGTCCTTTGAGTCGGTCTTATTGTAAGCCACTGTCCGGGCCCCTTTGCTTTCTAAAGCAAGTAGGTAGCACACTTGTTCACCTCTTCTCCATCTCTACTCATTGCCAAATATTCGTGTGACAACAGAAGCCCTCACCATAGTCACTAACACCTTTTCCTGCCAGGTCCACAGTAGTGACTGTGATGGCCCAGCTGTTCCCATAGAGACCGACTGTCCTGTCTAGCTCCAGTGTAGGACATCCTTGAGTGGATGCCACAGTGGCCTGAGAGGCTATCCACAACATCTGTTAACAGGCAGACAACTTGGAAATTCAACAGTAGTGGGAAGCTTGCTCTGTGCATGTATGTGCGTGCCTATCTGTGCAGGGGTATGTCAAAGAGTTCATGGAGAAATGAGATTGAAGTGCAAGTTTATTTTGGCACAAAAAAATCTGAGATCCATGCACTTTTATGTCATAATGTGCATTTTCCATGAACTTAATGAAGACTCCTTGTATGAATGCGAAAGCATTTATGTATAACTAAAATCTAAAAAGTTGGATCCAACTATTATAATGATTACTGTTGAAAGCCCATTCAAAACTCTGAACATTGTTTTCACTTGAAGGGAACTATGGAAGAGTCTCTGCAGATCTTTAGCACATTAATGTAATTAAACATACTTAAGGACACAGGAAATGGATACACATAACATTTCTCTCTTTTCTTTTAAGAGAGATTTTTCTCTGTAGGGCACGTGTCCTCACCAAAGAGACAGAGAGAGAGAAAGCGAGAAATCACCCCCTGGGAAGGATGACCATGCTGCCATCCCTTCTCTATTCTCTTCTTGGGATTTTGGGCACACATGCACATGTGCCAGGCCCAGGACTCGAACCATGGTCAACTATGTGGGAGTCCAGCAAAATAACCATTATGCCATCTGCTGGTCCTAGATACACGTAAAATTTCTAACATTCAGGAGGCCAGCAGGTGGTATGGTGGTTATGGTGCTGCATCCCACATGGCCAACTCTGCAGTTGGGAGTCCCAGATCCAGCTGCTTGAAAAACACACCAAACATATGTGGCCAAAATCCCAAGAGGAAAATGGAAGAGAAGGGATTGTGCTGCAGTCCCATCTCCCAGGGGGTAATTTTTCATTTTCTCTCTCTCTCTTTGTCTCTATGTGTCTCTGGCGAGTGCATGCACCCTATGGCCAAAAAAGAAAAAAAAAAAAGAGAAAATTGAAATGTAGGAATGTTTCAGAAACTTTGATTTAAATATTTCTGACAATAGTCCTTCACTTCTAGAACATTATACAGCACATAAATTTTATGCTTAAACTTCAGGAATAATCAACCAAATGAAGAGCAGTAAACTGGGAAGGAGTAGAAAAATCCCCCCACAAACAAGATCATGATGATGATAAAGAAACCCCCCCACACACACACACACAGTATTCTTAGGGATACGGTATTGCTGTCTTATTCTTAGTTCTTTCTCTAATTTACAGATGGACTTACACCTTCATCTTTTAAATCAAGTGAAAAGGGCAGAAAAAGAAGGGGAACAAGTGAAATGATTTTTAAAAATAAGACTATTTGGGGTTGTATGTGACACAGAAATTATCAAAGCTCACACAGCCGGAGTTTAGAGATAGGTGAAATCTGTTAAGACGTTTCTCCTCTGTTTTGTTGCTGCCACTGGTTCTTTTCTTGCTGGGACCAGGAAACGTGCCTGCCCATTGGCTGGGTCTGTCGAGGATTTTTCGAGTCTGTGCAAGCACCAGGACGCTCCTGTACGTGAGCCCAGACTCATGCACCGTGCACACACAGGGAGCTTCAGCATTCTCCTCCCTGCTGCTCTTTTTTTCTGTTCCAAGCCTATCATTTAAGTTTTTAAAGGTCCGTTAAGTTGCTCTTCAGGCAAAAATTCTATTTCTGCCATGATCTCGTTTCATTCAGAGGCCACAAGGACCCTGGAGGAGAAGCACAGGCTGAGGGTGCCCTTCAGAGAGCCCTTTGGAGTCTCAGCTTGGAACATCGTGAATGAGATGTGGAGGCCAGGAGCCTCGCAGAGTCCTTTCTAGTGGGCAGTGTCCTGGGTTGCATCTCTGGGCCTGGCTGGCCCACGGAGTCAGGATTTCCTGTTCTCAGGACACAGCCGCCCCCCTCCCCACCCTCCGTGTCCCCAGGCGGTGCAATCTCAGAGGAACTTTTTAGGTTACATGTTGGGTCTCCTCATAGGACACAGACATGCACAAGGCCCATGGCAGACTAAGGTACCTAATTCTGACTGCGTGTTTAGACATACGGTCTGGCTTCCATACCCAGTTCTGCACCCATGGCTTCTGCATCCACAGGTTCAACCAACAGCAGATCAAAAACACTTGGAGGTTTTTACCTACCAATGTAACGAAAAGTAATACGCGTTAAGTAGTAGCGTATAACAACTATTTTCGTAGTATTTGCATTGTATTAGGAATCCTGCATGACCTAGGACTGACTTAGAGTCGACGGGAGGAGTGCATAGGTCATAGACAAGTACTATGCCATTTTGTACAAGGGACTAGAGCACCACAGATTTTGGTATCTGCTGGGGTCTTGGAACCAGTTCCCCTGGATTCCAGGCAATGGCTAGATATAGCCTCAAAAGGTGAGGATTTCAGGAACCAGCAGTTAGCATAATGGCTATGTCGCTGGACTCCCATGTAGTCAACCGCGGTTCACGTCCCGGACCTGGTGGCTTAGAACTCACGCCGGGCGTGTGTGCGTGCGTGCCCACGATCCCAGGAGGAGAATGGAGGAGAAGGGATTGCGGCGTGACCATCCCCCCTGGGGGGTGATTTCTCGCTCTCTGTCTCTCTCTGTCTTCTGTCTGTCTGGCAAGGGCACGCGCCCTATAG